TATTAAATGCCAATTTTTTGAACTCATATAAACTTTAATCTCTTATAACTTTTTTAAAACAAAGAATAAAAAAAAATTCTCTAACAAAATTGTATTTTATTTAAAAATTTATTAATTTGTCAGAGAGTTTTTTGATTTAGCTTGTTTTAAAAAAGTTATACTACTTTAAAGTTTTATTAATAGACATTTGATGTCTTTTGCTGTTCTGCACTGTATATATAAATTATACCAGAGCTCCTGAATACAAAGATATCATATTAATCGAACCCATTGTTTGGATTAAATTTTCAGTACTATTGAGCATAAGTGTAATCTTTATGGATCTAGGTTTTTGTACTAATAAACATATATAATATCTTCCTATTATCACAGAGATTCTAATGGCGATATTTGAATCTGTGCCGGTTTGTCGATTATCATGCATGTTTGTATAATATCTACGTTGAAGATCCTATTAAATAAAATTCGGAAGTTTTTAAAACTTCTAGCGATAATTTCTCAATAACTACTTAAGTTAATTTAATGAAATTTTTTTATTTTAATTTCATAATATTATAGAATTAAAATAAAAAAAAATTCATTAAATTTGGTCTAGTAGGTTTCGAGAAATCATCGCAAAAAGTTAAAAAAAACTCTAAAAATCTTCAAAAAAAAATCGGTAAAAATTTTCTTTATTTGAACTTTAAATGATGATTTCTCGATATTAATCTATCCAAATTTGATAGATTTTTTTTTATTATAATTCTGTAGGATCATAGAATTAAAATAAAAAAAAATTGATTGAATTTTAATAGCTAGTTGTTGAGAAATATTCAATAAAAGCCAAAAAAAATTAACTACAGTTTTATATTTATAGAAACCTAAACTTTGAATAAAGATTACTTGGCACTTATTTAGTCACATGTGATCAAATTGTTTTATTTTAATTTTATGAGCATATAGAATTAAATTAAAAAAACTTGATCGAATTTGTCTAGGTAAGTGCCAAGTAATCTTTGTTCAAAGTTTAGGCATCTATAAATAAAAACTGCTGTCAATTTTTTTTAGCTTTTAATTAATATTTCTTGACAACCAGCTATCCAAATTCGACAATTTTCTTTATTATAATTCTATTAACACCTAGAATTAAAATAAAAAAAATTCATTAAATTTAGATAGGTTAGTATTGAGAAATCATCATTTAAAGTTCAAATAAAGAAAATTTTCACAGATTTGTTTTTTTCAAAGATTTTTAGGGTTTTTTTTTAACTTTTTAAGATGATTTCTCGAAACCTACTAAACCAAATTTAATGAACTTTTTTTATTTTAATTCTATAACTTTATAAAATTAAAATCAAAAAAATTTCATTGAATTTATTTAAATAGTTATTGAGAAATTATCGCTAGAAGTTTTAAAAAATTTTTGAATTTTATTTAATAGGATTTTCAACATAGACGTTATACAAACATGCATGATGATTGACAAACTGGGCACAGATTCAAATGTCATGTTCTAATGAGCATTAATAATTTTTAATTTTATTTAAAAAATTATAAATATTTTTCAAAATTCTAGGCAAATTTGTTTGGAATATGGTTTAAGAAATAGCTTTTTCTAACTACAAATAATATATACCATATTTTCATAAAATAACATATGGGGACCCCACAGCAAAAGAAGGCAGTGGGCAAAAAATTTTGATTTTGTAATTTTATAAAAATTGTATCTCTAATACTTCGAGAAATTAAGTTTTTTAAAAAAAAATTTTTTTTGCCCACTGCCTTGTTTTGCTGTGGGGGTTCCCATATAGAGATGAAATTACAAATTTCAGCCTAAATTAAGCTTAATTTGGGCCAAACCTCTAAATAACACCCATACCTGTTTAAAAATATAAACTAATTTTTTTGTTCAAAAACTATTGATGTTAAAAAATCATGTGAATGGAAAATTGATCCTAGGCTCTATCAATTTCAGGTGATACTGGAGTAGTTCTCTGGACACCTACTAATATAGGTGCTTTTATCAAAAATTTTGAAAAATTAAACTACTGGTAACAAATAATATAAATCAATTTTTTAAAATATTATTTATATATACCATGTAATATAAACAATTGTGCAATATACATAACTTTTAATTTTTTTATGGTTTAGGACACCTAAAAATAGGCTGCTATTTTGTAATTTAGCTAATTTGCTACAACTTAGTGGCCTTAACTTTTAAAAAATCATTGTATATTTTTTCAATTAATAGGTTTAAAAGTATAGTATTTTTATATGATATGTAAAAATTTGGCCAAAAATGGGACAAGTCATATGTTTTAGCCTTCTGCTATTGGCTAATTTTAAAATTAATTTAAAATTAATTTTAAAATATTTTTTAAAAATTAATTATTAGCCAATCAAAATGCAAGAATTCACAAAGACATCAAATTTCAATATGAAATTTTTGAAAATGAGACAAATTTCATGATTTCCGCCTTTAGGTGTCCTGCACTATACCAAATATAAATCAACCAATCATAAAAAACTCTAACCCTAACACTAACTAAGGTAGGTGCAAAATCGGTAGGTGTCCGGAGAAGCTACTAAGGTTATCTAATCTAAAACAATCACGTGATGTCAAATCTGTTATTAAAATAGATAATTAGTTATAAAATACATCTCATTTATCAATAATAAAAGATACTGGCAAAGTTAAAAAAAAAAAGCTCGATTTTTCTAGTGAAGATTCGATAAATTTATTTTGCGAATTTATAGTGAATATTCGACATCGGATCAGACCTTTATTATTAAACGCATGCATACTTATTTAATGAATCTGTGGTTTTTGAGTTTGACATAATTTAACGAAATGGGATATATATTCGGGATTTGGTCATGAACCCAAATAAAGTTCTTATACTCAAACTAAGTAGTAATGCCGTAATTTAAAAAAAAATTTGGTCGCAACCCTAGTGCTATTTAAGTAAATAATCGAGGTGAAATATTCATAGCCATTAACTCTTGGAACAGTAATTTACAAGCGTATGGAATATGTATTTGTGATATCTAAAAACACAACAAATCAACGAGTTGTTGGTTAGCATTATTATGAAATAAGTTATAGGTAATTATTGTAGGATCTGGCGTACAATCCCGTGTCAATAAATAAATGAAAAAGCACGAACTGTTACATAAGATCCACACAATAATAAGATAAACAAGTGAAACAGACCTGTGTAGTATTTTTACAAGCTTTACACTCAAAAGTATTCTTCTTAAGGTTTGCTATAGCCATTAGTCCGCATATATCACAACAATGAATGCGATATGCATCTGACGCATCGAATAATCGTTCCTATGGTTGTGTATAAAAGCAGTTATTATTAATTTATAATAAGTAAAAAGGCAGGATATGAACATATAAACATATTAATACCTTCAAAAACATGGCTACACCATGAGAAATCATACAATCACGTTCCATTTCGCCGAAACGTAACCCACCATCACGACTGCGGCCTTCCACTGGCTGACGTGTGAGAATTTGCACGGGACCTCTAGCACGAGAACTAATAGAGTAACAAATAATAAGTCAAAGGAATCTTCCAAAAAAAGGATTGATTAATGATAGAGCAAGAAATATATTTACTGAATTTTATCATCCACCATATGTTTCAACCGTTGATAATATGTTGGTCCTAAGAAAACTTGCGCGGCTAACTTCCGTCCTGTATGCCCATTATACATTACTTCAAACCCTCGAGAATGGTAGCCATTTTGTCGTAAGCTGTGTGAAATAGCTTCAACCGTCACATCAGTGAACGGCGTGGCATCGCCTTCTTGGCCAGTGAGCGTTGAAACCTAGAAACAATTCGAGTTCGAGTATAACTCAAGGCGAGATATATGAACTAAGATTATTAGCAAATTTTACCTTTCCTAATAAACATTCGACCAAATGACCGATTGTCATACGACTCGGTATGGCATGGGGGTTTATTATAAGGTCTGGCGTAATCCTTTCAGAAGTAAATGGCATGTCTTCTTGCCGATAAGTAATTCCAATAGTGCCTTTCTGCCCATGTCGACTAGCGAATTTATCTATTATAATATTGTGAGTGAACACCAGTAATATCATATGAATAAAACTCTAGGAGTCGTGTGTGAAACTCACCACCCATCTGTGGAATTCTTGTACTCCGAACTCTTACTTTAACGAATTTCATTCCCTCAGCATTTGTCGTTACCATCACTTGATCGACGATACCGTTTTCTGTACTTCGCATTGGTGTGGATGCATCTCTATGAGTGTGGGAATCCTTTCGTTGGCCAAGTTCAATAGTATGTTCCGGAATAGGTGTAACCTTTCCAATAATTATATCATCTCCGGATACTCTTGTACCAGGTGCAATTAATCCATCTTCCTCTAATTTTTCATATGTACCGTGTTTGAGACGTAGAGTGGTTTCCCTTGTTGGTTTATCAAATTCTTCAATAGACAGTATTCCCTACATAAAATCAATGATTAAAATTTCATATAAACTATTCAATCTAATTGAAATTTATACATACCACTTTTTTTTCTTGATCCATATAACTTCTATAAAAAATACTTCTAAATAATCCTCTATCTATACTGCTCTGATTCATTATAACTGAATCTTCTTGATTATAACCACTATAACAAAGAATTGCTACAATAGCATTTTGACCTGCTGGCAGTTCGCGGAATCTTAAAAATTCCATAGCTCGTGTTGTTACTAAAGGCTTTTGCGGATAATATAAAATATTTGCCAAAGTATCCATTCTTAGTTGATAATTTGTGACGTAAATGCCCATTGCTTGTTTACCCATAGCAGATTGATAAGTATTACGTGGCGACTTGAAACCATAGTAATAAGAAAAATGAGGAGTGATTTTAATAATTGTTATAATTGTTCTGATATTTTACTCTCACCTACCTGATTATGATCAGGGAAAGGAATAATACTAGCACAAATTCCTAGTATCATACTAGGATGAATTTCGCAGTGTGTCCAGGTATGTATTGATAAATTCGATTCACTTTTAACACGAGCTGCCACGTCTTTTTCGTGTGTTTTGGATGTTCGTGCAATACCAGTTTGATAAAAGTGCCTTGAGGCTGCTAAGTCTTCAGGGGTCATACAAATCATAACTGTTTCTTCTTCTTCTGCGTCTATATACTCAATAGCGCCATTGGAAATTAAATCATGCCATACATAAACTTGTCTATCTTGTCGCCTTTTTTGACTTTGTTCTTGAGCAGTTTCACCCTGTATTTCCTCACCATCTACATGTCTATTGTCTTCGTCTGGATATTCATCATCGTCCGCCTGCCCACTTGTTCGACCTTTCTGCTTAACAAAGAATAAGTAAGAACAAAGTATTAATAAAGCTTATATGCATGATGAAGTTAATGATTCTTACGACATTTCTACTACGTCCTTAGTAGAGATAACTAAAAGTGTCACTTACAAGCTTATTAACATCCAAATTATTTATAAGTTCTTTGCTTATTACTAAACACTGCTCTTCTACAATGAATAAAGGTCGGCACACCCTTCCAGCATCAGTATAAATTCTTAGTTCTTTTTCACGAATGTCCCTAACAACACTAACTTCGGGGCTCACATCAACACTTCGTCTCAAACCCCTAAGTGTATTAGCTAATTGTTCGGGTGCTGTGGAAATACCCGCCCATTTACCATTTACAAAAACCTTTGTATTATCCCTAATATTTGCGGGATCAAATTGCTGGTTCAAATTTATCATGCCATATTCCTCTAAGAAATCTACTATTGGTTTTGAAGAACTTCCAACTGAAATATATGACATCAAAGAAAGGTTCTTAACTAAACCACAAGCTTGCCCTTCTGGAGTTTCTGCAGGGCACACCATACCCCAATGAGTATTGTGCAACTGGCGAGGTTTAGCAATCTTTCCATCTCTTCCCATTGGAGTATTACATCTTCTCAAATGAGATAGTGTTGATGCGAAAGTGTATCGATTTAGTACTTGAGAAACACCCGCTCGGGACTAAATTCCGGACAAAATCTTAACAGGTAAATGATGTCCGAGAAACGTTACCCGACAAAATATAAATCAATCAAGAATAATTTACCTGCATAGCTTTTTTTTGATCACCCCAATTACCCGTCGCAAGAGAATATTTAAGGCCATTGGTAATCGTTTGTGCTTTAATCGCCAAATGGAGATTAAATTCTCTACTTGTGTCGATGCACTACATTAAACATCGAATAAATTATAATCAAATAACAAAAATATTAAAACTTAATGGTATGTATTTATACAAACCTTTCTTAAATATATCGATATATCTTTTGTGAGTTTTTTGAATAACATACGAAACAATGATGCCAATAAAGGACCTGCAAGATCCATTCTTTTCTTCCCGTAGTGATCACGATCGTCCAACTCTCGACGCCCGAGCGCAGCCAGTAAAAGTCTGTGCACCATATATCCTAAAAAGAATGCCTTTCGTTTTTCACACCCATATTCAGTTGAAACATGAGGTAATAATTCTTTCTGAAGAATCTCTTTAGCGTATCTAACGTAATGAGTATTTCAGTTATTGAAGCAAACACTGATAAAATTATATCAATAAATATCAATAAATATATACTTGATACGTTTATCTCTTGTAGCACCGGTGGTTGTTCCTCTACGTCCAATCCAATCCGCAGCAACCTAGAATTTTTATTTTAAATAGATGATCATATTTTCGAAAAAACATAAGATACCAATAGGATGCTCAACTCACTTCAGTACTTTGAACCGCAAACGCTTCTTCGATACACGGTTTCAATGCTTCCATCATTTGATTATCGTTAGGATCATAACAAACGTATTGTAGAAAATCCTGATCAGAGACGGCACCAAGGGCCCGGAAAGCGATTACCACTGGTACATCTTTCTTAATGTAAGGCATTGTTGCTTGGATGAATTGTCCGGTCGACTTAAATGGGTTATTGAATTAAAATGTTTGTTTATTATTGAAAAATCAATAAGAAAAAAGTTTACCCCTTTCTCAGCTGTCTTTGCTAACATCTTGACTGTCAACGAACTAGCCAATTTTGACCCCTTTTCCATAGCACTTCTTATTTCAGCAGTGTACGAATAAGGAGAGGGAGGAGACTTTGCAAACACATATACAGTGTTTGTTGCCATTCTTTCTTGAGCGATTAATACTTTTTCGGATCCATTGATAATGAAATAACCACCCTGACAAATTATATGTAATATTGCATAATAAATTATTATGATTATAATAATCACATTAATTATTTTTGTTTCGTGATAAGTCATGAAAATGAAAAAAACCTGATCATACGGACATTCGTTCAGAGCATAAAGATGTTCATCGTCTAAACCATGAAGCACACAGTATGTCGATTTCAACATAACAGGAATCTGTTATGTAAAAACATATATAATTATAATGAAATAGTCATTTAAATTTAAATAACTCATATATTTAGGGTCCGTACCTTTCCAACAAAAACTTTATCATAAGTTTCTTCTTCTGGATCATCTTTTAATTTATTTTCATCAAACATTTCAGCTAATGTTGGTTTTCCCCTGTTTTCTGGAGCTCTGGGATCGGCATATAATGCTTCTTCTTTCATATTGACATAAAGTGGGGCAGCATAACTGACGATAAAAATTAGTTAAATTAATAAATATGATGCTTAACACATTTTTCACACATACAAAAGTAATAACAATAGTTATAATAATAATGCCCACGTTAGATTTCGTAGGCGTGCTTCTTGTGGAAACATCGCTTGGACGCTACCATCTGCTTCGGTCATTGTGGGCTTCGATAGATAAACTTGACCGAATCGAATGTAAAATCTTTTCTAATGAACAACAAATTTCTAAGATAATTTGTTCCAGATCCTGAATTTCTTTAAAAGGAAATTATCTGAACATACTGCTTTGTCACCATCTCCCGTTTGGCTTCCTGAAAATGTTTGTAATACTAAATTCTTATTTTCATCAACAATTTCTTGCATAGTGTTTTGCACAAATTCATCAAACGAATCGAGTTGTTGGCGAACAAGTCCTTTATCATGAAAAAACGATGATATGACCGTCCAACAATCTTCTTGTGTAATATCTGGTTGTATTTCGGAATCTTGTAAATCATCTAATATTAAGATAATGAGCACATTCGTTATAATAAACTTTGAGTTTGTTATGAATCCATTTTGTTATTATTATAATAAACATCCACAAAAATAAAAAGAAATAGAATTTATATATATTTAGTATAAAGAATATTTGAACAATTTATTTTACTTTATATTTCATAGTAAGAAGCCATCTTCGTAGATCTCTAAAATTATTTTAGCATATATTATTCTAAAACCTTCTAAAGCTATTAGTGAGTGATTAAATAAAATACCTTGGTCATATCCTTCTTGATATTGTGCAAAGTCGTCTTCTAAATCTTCTTCAACGGCTTGCGGTGGCATCTCCGGTAGTACATTTAGCTGATCTTCCATAGCGTAGGAGGTCATTGCTGCGTAAGCGCCGTCCATTTTATGTATAATTTTGTGCTGAAGAGAGTATGAATTACAACGAAAAGTATGATTACAACTACGTACTTTCAAAAATTCTGCGCTGCCAATCAGGTTCAAGTAGAGGTTGGAACCGGTTTTAAATATTCGAGTTTATCACATCAAAATTCGAGTTTATCACTCCAAAATTCGAGTT